ATTACTGCTTTAATTGAAATTCTAATGTTTTGAGGTGTTTCGAAATATTTTCAATTGTCTTTCGAAATGTTTTGAGGTATTTTTAGATGTTTGATATATTTTGACCAATGTTTCAGAATGTTTTGAAAATAAATTTTTAATTTTTTTTAGTCGTTTTTACTTTGTTTCCAAAACTTTTTTGAAACATTTTCGACATGTTTCTGTTTTCTAGGTGACCAAAACAATGTTCGGAAACAAAATTTTGATCATTTCATTCAATATGATCCATCTAGCTCTGATTTGAGCCACTAAGACAAACTTTGATAGGTTAAGAATCAAGCTATGATCAATCAACCCCGATTTACCCATAGGTGCTTCAACCAGATTGGTGGATTTTCACAACTGCTTATGTCGATTGCATTGGCAACTTCCTCTCTCTCTCTCTGCCCCCCTCTTCCTCGACATTTGTGGGTGGATTTGTAAGGGGTTGTGTTAGACTTCGACTTGGTGAGGGTGGGTGGTGGTTTACCGTTCATAGCAAGGCTTCAACCAATTGTTTTTGTTTTTTTTTTCTGTTTTATTTTATCGAGTGAAGCACTAATTTGTTTGTATGTGAGTGTTTCTACTCCCTCGTCTTAATTTGGTGGTGTGGTAGTGTTGTGGGATGGGAGAATATGGGGATTTTGCATTAGAAAGATTCCAAGTAGGGAGCTTTAGGGTTTGTGCCCTTGAAAATGTTCTATGTCATGTATGGTTTGAAGGGAAGGAAAGCATGTGATGGTGTGAGAGGAAGGTGATCATCCTTAATGAACTCCTAGTTTTGCTAACAATTCCCAGTCACTTACGCCACAATTTGAAGGGTAAGTTACGTAAGTTTTTTCGTAAAGCTAGTTTGAGAAAAGTTGTTCTCTTTGGTTTGGGATGTGGCTTCAACATTTTAACAATGGAGCACTTGTATGGTAGAGGATGGAAAGCTCCTAATACACGTTGCATGTGTAAAGTGATATAAAAAATAGTTAATCATCCTCACTTTATATGGCTGCTCGATTGTCTGGATTGCCTTTTCTTATCCTTAGTTTGCTTTACTTGGTTGTGCATATTGCGTTGGTTGACATGTTTATCCGGTCGTAAGATATCAAAGTAAGGATAACAAAGTCTTATGTGAGACTGGTTCCTCAATCTCTTCTTTGGCACATGGGGATATAAATATTGAAGACTTTTTGTGCGATAAGAAGCTTTCTTTTTTAAAACTGAATAGTTTCTTTAATCACTTTGTTTCAAATCCTTTTCTTATTGCAGATTGGGAGGTCTTCTCCCTCTGAGAACTTAGCTGGTTTTTGATTAACAGTGAATTTGATGGTATGAGGGCTTTTTGGACTTCACACTGTTCTGTGTCTGCCCTGTCTTTAATTTAGTGGGATCCATTAATTCAGTTACGAACAAAAAGGGTGAAAAACTAAAGATGTTTTTCTTAAAATATATGGAGGTGAAGAAAAATAAGGTGTTTGAAGTCGGAGCTTAGAAGGGAAAAAATGTACGGACAAGGAAGTTATACAAAGTGGTGAATTATCTTAGTTAAGGACAAGGATCAAGATTTCAATTGGAAATGTTTGAGATGGCCAATTGTTTCTGTTTTCTAGGAGACCAAAACGAAACAGTGATGGAATCAAAATTTCAATGCTTCGAGGTGTTTCGGAATGTTTGAGGAGTTTCAAGATGTTTCGATATATTTTGACTAGTGCTTTGGAATGTTTTGAAAATAAATTCTCAAATTTTTTATTTGATTCTATTATGTTTTTGAAATGTTTCCATTCCTAGGCAGTCGAAACATTGCACTTTTGATCCTTGATCCTAGTTGTTACTTGTTTCGCTTTTTGCAACAAATCTACATTTGCATGCTTGTTTCTTCTTAAATCATATCTTTTAGTCTTTCTTGGAAAGCTATTCTCTCTTATTCTAGAAATACCTATTTTTTATAGCCTTTGATCTGTTAACTTACTAATGTACTTTGATTAACCTCCACTTGTTTCAATTCACTTTTTTGAGGATCTCGGTTTCAAACCTTTGACATATCATCTTGAAAGTTAACAAACGACGGATAAAGGCTAACTAGACAGTAAAATGAGAAAAGTAGGACCCTAATCCCAACTAAAAATAATCTTTACTTCTTTATTAGGATTACAATCCATAACCAGTTCTGCCATATGTTCGGGATGAAGATGCTTTGGCCATCACTTAGCACGTAACTCTAATGTCATCTTTATTATTTGCCTTTTGTGGTCCTTGAGCTTAATTGATCATAAAAACATTTCTGAAAGATTCTACACTCATCTATGAGTTTCTTACAAGCTTCAAACCGGCATAACATGATGCAATGTAGTTTTGGAAAATACCAAGAGTAACACAACATAATGAAAATTAACATAGTCTGGAACTGAATAGATAATATTAAATTTTTAGATGCAGCCTCCCCAATTTACTTCTTTGGATTCAGTCCTGCTTAAAAAAAATGTAAAATAGGGATGAACTCGTTAATCCAGTAGGATATTTTTATTAATTACTATCAAAGTATTAAAACATGATATAAATATAACCAAATAATGAATAAGTTTAGCAATAGATCAAATTAAAATCACAAGAATGCAACACATATCGACATCCATAATTCGTTCGGTCCATGCATGAACCATCTCTGGAAAAAATTTTGGGGTCTTGCATTCTAGGAAATCCGATGCACTTCTTGCTTTTTTGAGAATACCAATACTAAGAATTATGCGGTGCCACACATGTTACTAACGGCAACTGATTTTACTAACCCATGAACCTAAGGATTGATAGGAATTCTGTGAATTCTCACAAGGATCACGTGTTTGTTAACCCTCTGCCATCAATTGTGTGCATTCGAGATAGATCCATAAAAAATCATAAAGCAGGGTCAAAACATATTCATATCCAACCTCAAGTAAAAAGTCAAACATGTCAGAATAAAATCTAAAACATTTGACATGCAAATTGGTTCCAAAGGATGATTAGGGTTTTGATCCAAAAATATCACATGTGCAGCAAAAATTCAAATCTAACATGGATCATGCAAAACCAATTTTTAGTATTATATAGTAAACGTAGGTTTGAAATTCCTAAATATGCATGAGATGCATCAATGATAGTAAAAAAGAAAAGAAACACTACCTTCGATGTTACCTTGAATTGATATCATATATTTTGGCTAAACAAAACAGAGTAATATTTTAGAATAATTATAGAACTAAGTAATTATGACTTATTTAAGCTAAAAATATAATTTTTTGAGTGAATAACAAAAAATAATGACGTTTAAATTTGATCCAAAAATATATAACGAGGATTAAAGTCAAGTGATTGATCATCAAATTGAACCTATAAAATGATTAAATCATAACCTAAAACTTTACCTAAATTTTTTATCGTAAGATCGAACTCCTACGTTGACAGAATTTCCCACCTTTTTTTCGTCTGATTTCTTCCTCTTCTTTCCTTCGCCTCTCTTTTTCTTCTCTGTCTTCCCACGACTTGCTCACTAGCAGAATGGCTATTTATAGCCAAACCAAAGTTCCTTCACGTCACCATGCATGCCAAAGCATGGTGACATCATAGACATTTGTGCATTTCTTCATGGTTGTTTCCTTTTTTTTTTTTTTTTGCCTTTTTTTTACACTAATACAGTTGTCACATATGTATAGCCATTCATTCTCCAAATGAGACATGTGTCACTAATATTCATTTCAAGTATAACATTTGTCACCTTTCTCTTTATACAATATATATATTTATATATGTGACATTTTTACACACCTTACATTGTTCAGACACTTTGGATATTTATTAAACATAATCAATATTATAGTCGTTTGATTCATTTTCATGCAAGGAATCTATATTTGAGGTCTATTTATTTATTTGAAATTTCTAAGAATAAACTTCGACAACATAGAATTATAGTTAATGCTATAATTAATGTGTTACCGATTAAATTTTTATACGGGTCGTTACATATTGTGTGCAATTTATACTGGCCAAAGAGGCATTGCATGTTGGGGGCACTTATATAGAGAGCTTGTGTCTCATTTTGAATGATTAGGACAACCCAATGTTGGTTTATATGCTTAAATGACATCTCCACTTAATCCCAATTAGTTTTTGGTTGGATGTTCTAGCATGGTATTAGAGCTGGTTCTTAGGTGGTTAGTGGGTCAAGTGTCTTACTCATTTGAATTTCTTTTTTCATGTTTGTCTGTTTGTTTATTCCATGTGAGCAAAGGGGGTAAAGAATTTGTATCCGACATCGAAAGAAAAGGACCACCCAAAGTTGATTTATATGCTTAAGGGGTCTCCCCACACATTGTCAATTGATTTTTGTTTGGATGCTAAAATCCAATTTGGAGATTTTCACTTTTTCTTGAGGTTTGATGTGGGTGGGGGTGGGGGGATGTTATATCATAGGTTGTGTGCGATTTATGCTGACCAAAAAGTGACATTGCATTTTGATCCAACAAATGAGGGGGACTTGATGGGGTGTCGATTGGCTTCAGACCTAAACTCCAACATTATTTGCACAGAGTGATATGCCTTAAGACTCATAGATTGTCTGCCTAGAGTTTATTATATAAGAGCATGATAAAAATGAGTTCATGGCTGGTGGAAGTTGGAAATGCCTTGTAAACGAATAGGTACTAAGAAAGACATCGGTCTAGAACAGTGAGAGAAACATTGTGGTGTCCTAAGCAACAGCTATTATTTATGAGATTGGGATGTTTTGAGTCTTTTGACCGAAAGGAATCTAAAGGATAAAACTTTGATTATTTGGCAACAAACTGGACGTTTAATGAACCATCTTTGTGGACAATGAACTAAAGCAATGGCAGAATGAAGCAATTAAAACCCCCTAAAGAAATTGACAAATACCATTAGTCACCTGTGGTACCATAGTTTGTTGGTTAATCCATTCAGTTTGTTTCTTTTAATCTGGATTTTTTTTGGGCCTAATGGTTGGTCAAAGCTAGTTTCATGAACTTTGTTCACTGATTTTGTTTGACTGAGCAAGGTCTATACATTATGTTTCAATGGCACTTACTAAGACATATTTCCTATCTTTCATTTTACTGATGGATGGACCTAACTGCAGTTGGAGCTGATTCGATTTGTTGCTTCTGACAAACCCATTGCTGCTGCTACTAAGGTTTCTGAAATAATTGTTACAATCATTAAGAGCCTCTCGCTTAGTCCAATGCCTGCTCAGGTTTGGTAGTTGATTTTCTTTGATTCATTCATGAGGGTGCAGCTTGCACAATTGCAGTCTTTGGGTCCTATCAACATTTTGAATGTGATTTTTTTTTTGCATTGAAGCTAGCATTTTCTTAGCCCACGATGTCATTTTAAAATACAGGAAGTGGCTGTAATGGAAAGCATGCAGTTGGCTCTGGAAAATGTCGTGGCTGCAGTGTTTGATAGACCAAATGATTTCCGTGGGAGTAGTTCCGAAGTTCAACTTTCATTATGCAAAATATTTGAAGGTTATTTTCCAGTGACTTCCTCATACATAATTTTAACTTTTGATGAGATTTTTCACCTTATGCTGAAACTCTGTTTACTGTGATCTGTAGGTCTACTTCAACAACTTCTTTCTTTGAAATGGACTGAACCGGCACTTGTGGAAGCTCTTGGGCATTATTTAGATGCATTAGGTCCTTTTTTAAAGTATTTCCCAGATGCTGTAGGCAGTGTAATCAATAAACTATTTGAGCTTCTAACCTCACAGCCCTTTGTTGTTAAGGTTCTCTTCAATATTTTTCTTCCTTGATTTTTTAAATGTAGACAGAACCTTCTGATGCTTGCAGATCTCAACCAACCTTTATTGTTTACAGGATCCTTCAACAAGTACTGCCCGGCATGCAAGATTGCAGGTTTGTACGTCATTTATTCGTATAGCCAAAGCTGCTGACAAGAGCCTTCTACCTCACATGAAGGTGATTCTTTTTGTCAACTAATTGGTGGTGAAATTAAAATTACTATATGCAAGCATGAAAACCAGTATTTTTGCCCCCTTTGAATTGAAGAGGTGTAAATTCTGCACACAGTATTCTTAGTTCAAGTGGGTTAAGTTTATACATGAAAGAAGATTTAAATGTTGTCCTTTTTTTTGTTAGATAAGAAAAAAAACACTGGTGGAGAGGAGGCAAAGACACACCATCCTTGCAATTGCTGACTTGATGATTACATGTGGAGCCTCATTAGCCAATATATTCTATGTCGGAGTGGGGTTAATCAGGCTACATGTTGTCTTTGGGAAAACAATATAGCATCCAAGATTTGTCTACCTCTAGAGGGAAGACAAATCTTGGACGGGGCTCTTGTTGCTAATGAGATTGTTGATTATTGTAGAGTTAGTGGTGAATAGGGTATGTGCGGAAATTTTATTTTGAAAAAGTTAATGATCATGTGGATTGCAATTTTCTTGAGTTTGTTTTGGAGGCTTAAGGATTTGGAGAAAGGTGGAGAAAATGAATGAGGAGATATTTGGAGTTGATGTATTTCTTTGTTATTTTAAATTATAAACTGAGAGGTAAAATTTAAGTCTTCTAGGGATCGAGATAAGGGGATCCCTTATCACTTTTTTTGTTTATATTGGTGGCGAATAGTTTGAGTAGACTCATGGAGAGGGTGGGGATGTGTAATTCAGTTGACGTCTTTTTGATTGGAAGGGATAGAGTTGTGGTTTGTCACTTGCAATTTGTAGGTGCTATTATTTTTTCTCTTCGGTGGATTAGGAGAGTCAAAATTTTGAAAATGATTGTTGATGGTTTTGGGAGTATTTCGGGCCTTAATGATAATTGGAGAAGAATTTTGTTGTGGGTATATATACTAGTCGGGAGATGATTGATTGGTTGACAATGGATTTGAGATTTCTGTAGGTGGTTGGCCTTTGAAGGATTTATGGCTCTCCTAAGGAAATAATCCTGTGTCTAAGTCTTTTTGGGATCTAGTTATTGAGAAGGTTGGGAAATGAATAGATGGGTCGAAGAGAACCTTAGACTGATCAATGTTGGTTCAATTTGTTTAGCTAGTATTCTTATTTATTTCCTATCCCTTTAAGTTGCCTATTTTGGTGACAAGGACATTTGAAGGGAAGATGAGAGATTTTTTATGAGAATGACATGGTGAGGGTAGCAATGATCACTTGATATCATGAGAGGTTTAAAGGTGATTTTTAGCTTGAGAATTTGTTGAAAATGAATCAAGTCTTGATTGGGAAATGACTTTAGAGGTTCCCTTTGGAACTAGATTCATTCTGACATTCCGTTATTAGGAGCAAACATCGGTTACAAGCTAAAGGGTGACATGCTATGCTAATAGCGTTAAAGGGGTAGTTTTCAATGTCCATGGATTTTTATTTCTCAGTAATTACCTTTTTTTTAACAAGGGGTTATGTTCATTGTGGGGGATGTAATAAGGATTTGTTTTTGGGAGGATACATGGGTGAGCGAGTCTTCCTTTTCTAGTCTTTTTCCCCGACATTATTATATTTCTAGCCTTCATGGCCATAGGATTGCTTTTCTTATTCGGTCATATTCTTACCCCGTGTCTTGGGATTTTGATTTTCGTAGGAGTCTCAATGACAAGGAATGTTCAAAGTTGGTGAAGCTTCTTTCTTTGCTTAATAGTGTTTCCTTGACCCAAAATTGTTTGGATAAAAAATATTGTACTATTGACCCAACGTGTGTTTTTTCATGAAAATCCTTCTTTGAGTCTTTAATCGATGATTCCTCTCGTCCATTGTTCTCTCCATCGAGGATGATTTAGGAAAGTTAGAGTGCCTTTAAAGGTGCAAATAAGTGCATGAATAATTGCTTACGGCAAGATTGACACTTATGATGTGAACCAAAGAAGATGACCTATTGCATGTTTTCTCCTCATGCAATGGTGTGTTATGTGTAAAAGTGATAGTGTGAGCTAGCATTATTTATTCTTACATTGTGCCATGATGCTCTCACTGGAACAAGTTGCTTAACTTTGTGGGGCTTTATTGGGCAGCACCAAAATCTATGTCATCTATAATTTGTTGGGATATTATGAGTGGGATGGGTGGGTTTTTTTTTTTTTTGCGGGGGGGGGGGGAGATAGAAGTTGTAAGACTCTTTGGCTTTGTCCATTGTTTGATATTGTTTTCAGTTATTTGGTTGGCGAAGAATGCAATGACTTTTTAGGACACGTGAGAAGTTTGAAGGACTATGGGATCAACTTTATTTTTAGATCTGCTTTTGGGCCTTGCTGTCTAAGGTGTTTGACATTCTTTTTGGCATTGTCACGAGTTGGACTGCTTTGTGTGGAATGTAATTTGACTCTTTTTATTCATGTCGTATTTTTTTTTTTGTTTTGACAAATTGCCCACTTTTGACTAGATTTTGTACCTCTTTTTACCTTAATGATATTATTAGTCTATTCCACAATTGCTGATCAATTTAGGATTTCATTTTTGGACCTACGCATTAATTTTCAAAGGAGATTAATACAAATATTTTGTGCAATTGTTTCCTGGATTTTCAATTCTCCAAGTCAGCAGGGAAAATTATGATTCAGCTGGCACAATACGTCCGACCAAAGACTGGACAATTTCTAAACCATATCTAATCAGCACATCTCTTGCTTTTCTTGAAAAGTTAGACCTACTTCTTGCACTGTAAATAAATTATCGGTGGCCATTTTTACTTAGGTTCATTTTTAGTTGGGATTTTGAAGACAGTCTTCTCACTTACTTATATATATATATATATATATATATATAAGTATGATAAATTTCATTTAATACCCCCACATTGTAACTTTTAACTTTTAAGTATACATAAGTACACATAATTTCATTTAATATCCTTCATTATTTTTTTTCCTTTTTTGCAATTATTCTTTTATGTTATTATTATTTGCTAAATTGGTATATTAAATAATTGCAAGTCATTTTATTAATTATACCTTATTTGTTAAATATCTAGAATTAAGTATTTATGTGTGTAAAAATTATATGTACAATGATTTTAATATTAATAAAATACTATTATTTATCAATTTGAAGGCACAATTTAAATTAATAAATTAGTATTATAATTTCATGTTTATTATGAGATCTTAACATTATGTAAAAATGTGTTTACTTGATGAAAATTTTGTGTTTGAAACTAATTTAAATGATTTTCGCATCGTGTATTCTTGTATAAATGGATGTTAATCTAATAAATATGCTGAATTAATCAATTATTAAGCTTATCTTTATAAATAAATAGATTGTATTTGTGTTTTCACATGTTTCCATATTTTTTTTTGCGTTTTTGAAACATTTCCGTTTTTGAGTTGATCGAAACAGTACTTCGAGACGATATTTCGATCCCTGGCACTGACCTAGCTTTTGCATTATTTGGGCAAAATTCTGTCCTCATAGTCCTACCAAAAAAAAATTATTCCTACTCCCCATATCATGGTTGTTGGCACACAAATTTTACCTTGGAAAATTCATGTGACTAAATACAAATAATGCTTGCACACTCGTGATGCATGTTTAATGATAAAAAATGTGCAGCCCCGAGTACAAGGTTCTTGCCGTTGTAAGGTCTGGGGAGAGTTAAATGTATGTAACCTTATCTCTGCATCCGGAGAGGTGGTTTCTGCGACTCAAATCCTTGGCACACGTCACAATGAGCTACCTTACTGCTGTGCAAAGCCCGACCCTCACATCTTTAATGATGAATGTTTAGAAATCTGTTGAACTTAGATGTAATGTAAATCCTGAACTTTCAGTTTTCTCTGTTTTTTGGAAAGACCGTCTTCTGTTGATTGGTAAGTATTTCATTTATTTACATGATGATGCTGTTTTATAGGGTATGGCTGAAACAATGTCATATTTGCAAAAAGAAGGTCATTTGCTTCGTGGGGAACATAATCTTCTTGGTGAAGCATTTCTTATTATGGCTTCTGCGGCAGGGTAATCGCTTGCTTACAGAGGTGCTAATCGTGTCTGCTTGGTGTCTCGTACATTGCCTAATCATGCAAGTTTCTAATTGGTTGCAGGGTTCAACAGCAGGAAGAAGTTTTGGCCTGGTTGCTTGAACCTTTGAGCAAACAATGGACACAGTTTGAATGGCAAAATGCATACTTGTCTGATCCAACAGGTTTGGTTCGCTTGTGTGCAGATACGCCATTCATGTGGTCACTTTTCCACACTGTGACATTCTTTGAGAAAGCGCTTAAGAGGAGCGGTTTCAGAAAAGGCAATCTTAATTTACAAAGTGTCTCAACAGCTACACCTAGTCCTATGCATCCCATTGCTTCTCACCTGTCATGGATGGTGCCCCCTCTCCTAAAAGTAAGTATGTGGCTCTAATGAGCTGGCCATCTCGCATTCTGTACATATTCTGATTTCTGGTTGAAAATCCTATTTCCTGTCACAAAATTAGCATCTTTACAAGTAATGACTTTGACTTATTCTCTGCACGAATAATGTTGTCCTGCTTGTGATTTCTCTTTAACATGCAGTTACTTCGGGCTATACATTCTCTATGGTCTCCACCTGTAACTCAAGGATTACCTGGAGCGCTAAAAGCTGCAATGATTATGACTGATGTTGAGAGAACCAGTCTTCTTGGGGGAGGGAACCCTAAAATGGTCAAGGGTGTACTAACCTTTACTGATGGATCTCAGTTTGATATGAACAATGAAGGTTTTGCAGAGCCAAATGAAACTGATGTACGAAATTGGTTGAAAGGTATCAGAGATAGTGGGTATGTAATTGTTCTTCTACGTTATAACACTCTTAAACATGAGACAGTTGAGTGAATACAAATGCTTAATTCCCTGAACAGGAATGGCATATTAGGCTTGACCCTAATCTGTGTCTGTATTGAAGATATCTTATGTATCTTATGTGCAATGCTAGTTAAAATAGATATTGTTCATTCGGTGCCTGACCCAATTACCTGTAGGTATAATGTATTGGGCTTATCAACCACCCTTGGGGATTCATTTTTCAAATTCTTGGATGTTCATTCTGTCACAATAGCACTGATGGAGAATATACAGTCAATGGAATTCAGGCATATAAGGCAGCTTGTTCATTCAGTCTTGATCCCTCTGGTTAAATGCTGCCCTTCAGATATGTGGGGAGTGTGGCTGGAAAAGCTCCTGCATCCGTTACTTCTTCATTCTCAGCAGATTCTTAGCTGCTCATGGTCTAGTCTTTTACAGGGGGGCAGAGCAAAGGTTCCAGATCTTCATGGCATACTTACTGGGTCAGACTTAAAAGTAGAAGTGATGGAGGAAAAGCTACTTAGAGATCTAACTCGCGAGATTTGCTCACTCCTTGCTGCTATAGGTTCGTCTGAGCGGAACATTGGGCTTCCTTCATTAGAACAGTCTGGGCATGTCAGCCGTGTCGACGTTTCTTCCCTCAAAGACTTGGATGCATATGCCTCAAGCTCCATGGTTGGGTATGTCTGAGACACATTGTTTTTTAACTTTTGTTGCTTTTGTCTGAGTTCTTACTTTACCTCAAAACTGTGGTTCAATTTCAGTTTTATTTTGAAGCACCGAAATCTTCTCCTTCCAGCGTTGCAGATAAGTTTAGATGCTTTTAAATGGACAGATGGTGAATCTGTGACTAAAGTTTCTTCCTTCTGTGGGGCCATAATCCTCCTGGCGATTTCAACGAATAATGCTGAACTCCGAGAGTTTGTTTCCAAAGATTTGTTCTCTGCAATCATTCAAGGTTTAGCCCTTGAATCGAATGCTTTTATCAGTGCTGATCTAGTTGGTCACTGTCGTGAAATCTTCATTTATCTATCAGACAGAGACCCAGCACCCAGGCAGGTTAGTGACGTCTCTGATGTTGTCGAATGTGTTTGCTTAACTATCAATGATTGGGATAAACTATGGTACCTGTATTGCTCAAGTTTTTATTGGATGTATACCTTCGTTTCTTGTGTGATCACAGATTTTGCTCTCTCTTCCGTGCATTACACCCCAAGATCTTCTTGCTTTTGAAGAAGCTTTGACAAAAACAAGTAGTCCTAAGGAACAAAAACAACATATGAGGAGCTTGTTATTATTGGCTACAGGAAATAAGTTAAAAGCACTTGCTGCTCAGAAAAGTGTGAATGTAATTACGAACGTTTCAAGTAAGTTCTCTCTGGCCATCAGTTTCTTTCTCCTCTTCCATTCCCAAATTTTCTTCATTTGTTTCCCTTCTTTTTTTTTTGGGATAAGCAGTTATAGCCCTATTGTTGTGTTGGGCTTCAGGACTGTTAATGTGTAGAACATACATGCATCAAGTCCGAAATCTCCTGGCATGGTTACAAATTGAAACAGAATCACATGACTTGATGACCAGAACCGACTAATGCTACAGAGCATAGTGACTCTTTATAAAACAACTTCGAGAATAAAGTTATCCTCATTCCTCATTATAAGAGTAGCACTTTTAGAGCTCATGAGAATCTAACTGCCGGCCTTTTTTTGGGAAAATTGTTAATTTGGGGGTGGGAAATTCATTGGGTATTTTGTCATGTTGATTAATATATCTGGAGTTCCAGAAAGCAGAGTGAGAACTACAAAAATAATCATTGAGATGAAAACAATTTATTGTGGATTTGGAATCCATTTTAGTCCACTCTCGTATGTCATCTATATGAATTCATTAGTGACCTCCCCCCCTCCTACATTTCAGTTCAGTAGCCATTTTGAACTTTTAGGTTGGCAATCTAGCATTTTGGAAGTTTAATCTGTGTTTTTGGCCAAGCATCTTTTTTTGCATCCTTTTTTTGGGGTAATGCTTGCCAGCTGAGTCGACACATTGCTAACATGTAACCCATACGTTTCAGCGAGGCCTCGCAATCTGGTTCCTGTTTCAGAATCCAGAGTTGATGAAGAAGAGACTATTGGATTGGTTGCAATTTTGTGAAGGGTTTCTCAGTAGCATGGCTGGTTGTTGTACAGATATGAGTTTTACTTATTAGAAGAAATTGAATGTCGTTCGTGAAGTGTGAAAAGGCAACCTCCTTTTTTATTGTTGGAGGTCCACCAAAGTAGTGAAACGGGCTTGACTTCTAGGCTGCCTCAAATGAAAGCTTGACAGGATGTATAATACATGGTGTTCACTTCAGTACCGCCTTTTTTTTTTCAGTATCATACCGAATAAGTAAAAGGTTTCTGTTTGATATCTGTACGTAAAAAACTCACAATCAGTCCACCGGGTTACCCCAAAAAGTAGTACCTTATACCAACAAAAAAAAATGATAACTTACTGTCCGATTAGTTCAAATTGAATTTTAATTCGTATAAAATATAATTTTTAATTGACTTGAATTTTAATATATAAAAAATAAATTTAATTAGCTTAAATCAAATTTTAATTAGCCTAAATTGAATTTTCATCACTCGAATTATAATGTGTTAAAAAATTTAGAAAATAGATGAGATCTTTTTGAAGATGTCTATCTAAATGGGTGTGAATAATTTTTTTTTTAAATATATCATAGGCAATTTAGTAAAATTTTATTTTAGTTAATACCAAAGTAACATGTAATTTTGCCTGATTAATATTTAATTTCATTTAATAAATATTTAATTCATCTAATTAACACTTAAATATAATTAGTTAATATTAAATTTATCGAATTAGCTTTTAATTTCATCTAATTAATGTTTAATTCATAAAATTATCACTAAATTACTATCCAATTCAATCAATTTATATTTCAAATTTATTTAATTAACACTCAATTAATCAAATTAATATATTAAATCATTCAATACAAATTTAATTTATCATTGAATTTGAATGTCATTTTAATGTGAACTAGTTGAATTTGATTGTTAATTTGAGTAAATTGAAAGTTAATTTGATTAATTTGATGTTAACTAGTTGAATTTAAATGTTAATTTCATGAATTCAATATTTAATAGATAAAATTAATATTAATTTAGTGTTAATTTGATGAATTGAATATTAATTGGATGAAATTACATGTTACTTTAGAATTGATTTGAGAGATTTGATCTTTATTGGATGATTTTTGAAGTAAATCTATTGAATTTAGTGTTAATCATTATGAATTTGGTATTAATTGGATGAAATTGAATGTTTATTTGATGAATTTAATGTTAACTAGTTAATTTAAATGTTCATTTGATGAATTAAATATTAATTGGGTGAAATTAAATGTTAATTTAGTGTTAATTTGATAAATTAAATATTAATTGGATGAAATTGCTTATTACTTTAGTGTTGATTTAATAAATTGAATCATTATTTGATAATTGTGGTTGTTAATTTGATGAATTGTGTTTTTAGTGGATGAACTGAATATTAATTTGATGAATTGAACATTAATTGGATGAAATTGAATATGAATGTTAATTTGTATTATTGAATGTTAATTTGGTGTTAATTTGATAAATTAAATTTTAATTGATTGAAATTGTATGTTATTTTGGCGTTGATTGGATAAATTGAATATTTATTAAATAATTTTGGATGCTAATTTGATAAATTGAATGTTAATTGAATGAATTTGAATATAAATTAGATGAATTGAATGTTAATTTTATGAATTGAGTGTTAATTGAATGAAAATTAAAGTTAATTTGATTAATGTAATGTTAACTAGTTGAATTTCAATGTTAATTTGATAAATTAAAGCTTATTAGATAAAATTGAATGTTAATTTAGTGTTAATTTAATGAATTTAATATGAATTAGATGAAATTGTATGTTACTTTGGTATTAATTTGATAAATTGAATCTTTATTATTTGATTTGGAAAGTTAGTTCAATGAATTGAGCGTTAATTGAATGACTTGAATGTTAATTTGATATTAATTTGATGACTTAAGTGTTAATTGGATGAATTTGAATATTAATTTGGTGAATTTAATGTTAACTAGTTGAATTTGAATGTTAATTTGATAAATTGAATATTTAACAGATGAAAATAAATGTTAATTTGGTGTTAATTTGATGGATTAAATATTGATTAGATGAAATTGCATATTGCTTTAATATTTATTTGATTAATTGAATCTTTATTAGATGATTTTAGATGTTAATTTGTTTAATTAAGTGTTAATTGGTTGAATATGAATGTTAATTTGATGAGTTGAATGCTTATTAGATGGAAGTGAATATTAACTTGATAAATTGAATATTAATTTAGTATTAATTTGATAAATTAAATATAAATTTGATAAAATTGAATGTTAGTTTAGTGTTGATTTGATAAATTGAATTTTTATTGGATGTTAATTGAATATTAATTTGATGATTTTGAATATAAATTTAATGAAGTTAATGTTAATTAGTTAAATTTTAATGTTAAAAAAAAGTTAAATGTTAATGTTAATTTGATGAATTGAACATGTTAATGTAATGTCAATTTGGTTATTGCATGTTAATTAAATATTTTAGATATAAAATTGACAAAATTTATACTTTAGGGACCAATTAATAAATTGTCTATACTTTAGAGATAAAACTGTTATTGACCTATTTAGGATAAAATTGTCAAATGAGGATCGGTCATTACAAACATTATGGATCTTGATTTCTTAATAGGTTAATAACACTTATATCTCTAAAAGATGGAAATTTTGTTAGTTTGATATCTAAAATATTAAAAATTTTTAATTTTATGTATAAAGTATTCAATTAACATGCAATTCAAAAAATTAACATCAAATTAACATCTAAATTCATCCAATTAACATTGAATTCATCAAATTAATACTAAATATCATTCAATTCATCAAATTAATATTCAATTCATCCAATAAATATTCAATTTATCAATTTAACACCAAATTAAAATCTAATTCATCTAATAAATATTCAATTCATAAAATTAACATTGAAATTCAATTAGTTAACTTTAAATTCATCAAATTAATATTTAATTTCATCCTATTAATACTCAATTCATCGAATTAACGCCAAATTACTATTCAATTCATCTAATTTATCTTCAAATTCATCAAATTAAAAGTCAATTAATCAAGTTAATATCTTAAATCTTTCAATAAAGATTCAATTTATCAAATAAAATACCAAAGTAACATACAAATTCATCCGATTAATATTAAATTAATCAAATTAAAATTCAATTTCATGTTGATAGACTTAAAAGTCGTAAAAAATAAAATTTAATTAGCTCAATCATCTCAAATATTTATAGAAAAATGAATTTTAATTTGTTCAAATTTTAATATGTAAAACAAAATTTAATCGGTTCGAATTTTAATCAAATTGCACGCACAAAAATTGTTTGGGGTTTAATTGAAAATATGTCTATCCAGCGCAAGAGTAGATGATAATTATTCAAAATTTTGATTTTACATCTAGATCGGTTGTTGCTAAAATCGTAACAAAACCGATCATATTGATTGTAGCATAAGATAGGTAACAAGACCGGTTATTTAACTGATCATGATTGTAACAAGATCGGTTATTATAAAACATGATCGATTCAAAAATATCTACTAGAAAGTGGCAATCTTATCCCTAAAAAATGGTAATTTACCAAAAGACAAATAGTAATTTACTCCCAAAAAAATGGTATCTTACATCCATAAAGGTGTAACCAACCATAAAGTGGTAACTTATTCTTAAAAGGTAATTTATCCCTAAAAAGTTATAACTTATACCCAAAGAAGTGATAAATTACTCCAAAAAAGTGGTAACTTATCCCATAACACCAAAGAGTGATAACCTTATCTCCAAAAGTGATAACTTACCTTCAAAAAATGATAACCTACCTTAAAAAAAGTGGTAACTTCCTCTTAAAAATGGTAACTGACTACAAAAAAGTAGTTACTTACCTCTATAAAATGGTAATAATTCTACTATGTATTGAATTTTTTTTTTTGAAAAAAATGCATTAATCTCAATGGATTTATTTTATAATAATTTTACTGTGAATTAATTTTTGTTAAAAAAAAATGCATTAGTTAATTTAAACATAATTTTTTATAATAATTCTTTTCTTTTAACGCTTTTCTCTTAGCAGCAATTAAGTAATTGATTTAATAGATTATCGACCAAAAGTTAAATATCTTATTACTCGTTTTAAATAATTTATAAAACTTTAATGACATTGAATTATTTAATCGCATGGTACTGAAAAAGAATCTTTAGACACACATAGCAGGTGTTTGTCTTCAGTACCGTAGACATACATAGCAGGTGTTTGTTGTCTTCTATGACCATCATGAAAATCGAGTGTGTCAGTTATAAAATTAATTTGTTCATATCTCTCTTATTCTCTCTCTCACAACCACACCCACAACCACATGTAGTTGCTGTTGCAACTTTATTTAGATTACTCCATTATTTGTAGTGTCCTAAAGTCTTTGAATGAAGCACCTGCTGCCTTGTAGCTTGTAGCTTGTAGCTTGTTAAGAAGTAAATTTATTTGTAGCTAGGTGTAGTCATGGTGAGGTAAATGAGGCGTCCCACTAACCGACGGTAAGGAGCGGGATCAGGAAGAAGGTCACCATCTGAGCTTCAAATTTTGTTCCATGGGAAAAGGTGCAGGATGAGAACCAAGTTGGCCACTATCAACAAGGATGTCTAGGGCATATTTTCGTTGATTAAGAAAAATGCCAGTGGGAGAGCGTGCAACTTCAAGTCTGAGAAAATATTTGAGAGGTCCGAGATCCTTGGTTTTGAAGTTGTTGGAAAGAATGCTCTTGAAGAAGGTGACCTGAGAAAGGTCATTGCCAACAACCAAAATATCATCAATGTAAATAAGAATAATAGTGAGACTAGTTGTAGTGATCAAGGTAAACAGGGAGTGATCTGCTTGTGACTGAACAAAACCTCCATTAAGAAGAACAAAGGTTAGTTTAAAAAATCAATTCCGAGAAGCTTGTTTGAGGCCATAGAGTGATTTTTGAAGGTGACAAACTCGTGTCTCCCCCTTAACACAGTAGCCGGGTGGTGGGGTCATATAAACTTCCTCATCAAGTGTACCATACAGGAAGGCATTATGGACGTCCATTTGGTGGATGATCCAATTTTTTGTGGTAGCAATAGCAAGGACACAACGTACTGTGGTCATCTTGGCAACTGGGACAAAAGTTTCATGATAGTCAATGCCTTCCACTTTAGTGTAGCCTTTGGCTACAA